GGACCCACGGGCGACAGGCGCAGCAGGCTCTCTGGGCTACCAGGACAGCGCCCCGGACTATAGGTGCTGCGGACGACAAGACGGCAGCCTCCTCTCAGCCTCCCCAAACAGTCCCACCCCCCTGACACACACCCCCTGCTTCACCCCTAGCTCCACTCCCCCTTCACCCCCCTAGCACCACTCCTTCGGCTCCCCACACACACACCCCCCTGAGCGGCAGCTGCAGCAGCGGGAGACGGAGGAGGAGGAGGAGTAGGGGACGGCGCACACAACCGGCACCCCCACAACCGCCACCCCCACACTCCTCACCCCCAAACCCTAAAACGGGTTGCACGGGGTAGGAGCGCGGGGGACGGCGGGGGGGACAGCGCGCGGCCCCCAGGGCGCCACCACGGGGCAGCAAGGGGCCGCGCGCGGCTCCCCAGGGCAGCGCGACGGGGCAGCGGGGGGTCGCGCGCGGCTCCCCAGGACGGCGCGACGGGGAATCGGGGGCCGCGCGCGGCTCCCCAGGGCGTCGCGACAGGACGACGCGAACGGGGGGGGGGGGACGCGCGGCCCCCGTGGCGCCACGACGGGCGACGGAAGGGGAGGGACACGCGGCCCCCGAGGCGCCTCGACGGGCGACGGGATGGGGGGGACGCGCGGCCCCCGCGACGCCACGGCGGGCGACGGGAGAGGGCGCCACGACTGGCGACGGGATGGCGGGGGGGGCGCGCGCGGATCCACGGAGTAGAAAACCGCCGCGCGCCTCGGGGCGCACGGCGGGTAGAAAACCGCCGCGCGCCCCGAGCGCACGGCGGGATGAAAAACGCCGCGCGCTCCGGGCGCGCGGCAGGAAGAAAGGGTCACGTGCCAGGGGCGCGCGACAGCAGTAGAGCAGCGGAAGCATCGGGTGGGGCCCACCCACAGGATCGACCCAAGGGGGTCGACCTGCTCTGAAACCATGTCAGAACCAGCAGGAAGAAGCAAGAATGAAGAAAGGAGAGGTTTCACTAGCAAGCAGTTGGATACATATAGCAAACCCTAATTGGGCTGTACTCACTATGGAGTACCCCACTGCAGGCTAGACAATAATAACATTCTGACAGCAGCAACCGACAAAATGCGAATTTTGCGGCGCAGCGGGGCATCAAATATTGTCGTGCTACAAAATGAAGAAAGCACGTGCGGCAATGCTGGGCGGCAACAGTGGAGAACCCCCGAAGTAAAAAAACGGGAATCGCCAGTAGCCGCGGATCGACCTGGCGATTGCGTAAAGATCCGAAAAAACGAAAAAGGGCGACGACGTGGCGACTTCGGAGCGGGTGAAAAAGGGAGAAAATGATGGCGCGAATATAAAACGTCACGACCGGCCTGCATCAGGGGGAATCGCCGAGGCGAATGGAGGCTCCGCGAAAAAAAGACTCTGCACTGACCGGGAAACTCCAGCCGAACACCCACGAAAGTAAGAATTCGTTAAAAGTATCCTACAAAGATACTCTAACAAAAAATATTGCTTCTCGTGGTTTTCAAGCCTTTGAAAAATTCAGGGGAGACTTAGAGGTCAAGAAAAAGCCTTTAGAAATTATTCAGGTACCTGAGAAGTTGGGCAAAGTACTACGGAGCGTGGAGTTAATATTCTCTCCCCGCAGCACCGTGTTAAGGCTCCCCATTGCCCACAGGTGAAGCCTACATAGCTGCAAAGGCTTAGGGGACAAATCCAGGCTCAGGAGAAATTTTACAAGCCTCGGAAAAATCCTCCTACCCCCCAGGTGAAGTTGGAAGTGAAAAGTGCTGAGTCAGGTATAGGAAATAGGGAAGGTATTCATTTTGATGTACCCTATGATCCTATTAATGAGACCCTCTTTGGCTACTCAGCGCAGCAGAAACCACTACTCGAGGTGTTATGCAATGGGCGACGCCTCCAGGCACTGGTGGACAACGGTGCATCTCACTCGGTGTGTGACCGCGGAACATTGGAGAAAATTGGAGAGAAGGAGGTGGAGACCCAATTCTCTGCAACAATGGTGGATGGTACGAATCTTCCCATCCACGGCGAAACTTCCCTGCAACTGCATATAGGTGCGTTGAGGTGGAAGCCGAAGCTACCAGTCACCAACATCAAAGGATTATATTTCATCTTGGGGCGAGATTTCCTGAAGCGGTTCAACCCCGAGATCGATTGGGTCAACAGTAAGGTGTGCATCTACAACAACGGGAAGCGGATAGAGCTACGAAGTTGGACGGATACAGGGGACGTTCCTGAAACGACACTGGCACGGTTCGAACGGACGGTGAACGAGAGCAACACGGGTTACTTAAGCACTGGTCATGGCAGCAGCAGAGGAGGAGAAGACGAGTTCGGAACTTCCTGCAGCAGTAAAGGAGGTATTGGAGCAGTACAAGGATATAATGCCCGACGACCTACCCGCAGGCGTACCTCCAGCACGCACCCACGAGCACGAGATCGTGGAGGAACCAGGTGCGAAACCCGTCCCACGTGCACCATACCGACTGAGTCCAACCGAACTAACAGACATGAAGAAGTGGATCGAGTATTTACTGGACAGACAACTGATCCGCCCATCCACCTCTCCCTACGGAGCACCAGTTCTCTTCACTCCAGAACCAGACGGCGATTTACGGATGTGCATCGACTACCGCGCACTGAATAAACAGATAGTTAAAATAAATATCCCATACCGCGCATAGACGACCTACTGGACCAATTGCGTGGTGCAACCGTCTTTTCGAAGCTGAACATACGGTCGGGTTACTGGCAACTCGATCCACAATACGGCTCCTACGAATATTTGGTGATGCCGTTCGGACTCTGCAACGCACCAGCAACGTTCCAGGCGGAGATGAACCATATCCTACGGCCCCTGCTGGACGAGTGCGTCGTAGTGTACCTAGACGACATTCTCATCTACTCCGAAAATATGAAGGAGCACGTGGAGCATCTGCGGAAGGTGTTCGAGATCCTGCGGAAAAACAAGTTCTACGTGAAGCTGTCGAAAAGCGACTTCGCACTAAAGAAGGTGCATTTTCTTGGGCACATGGTGAGTGCGGAGGGCGTACACGTGGACCCACGGAAGATCGAAGCCGTTAAAAAGTGGAAAGTACCGGAGAACGTGAAGGAGTTGCAGCAGTTCCTAGGCTTCGCTAACTACTACAACAGGTTCATGCCGCAGTACGCTAAGATAGCAGCGCCACTGACCGACCTACTGAAAAAGGATACGCCCTTCAAATTGGATACTCCTCATCACCACGCCATGGAACAGCTACAGACACCATTGACTACAGCACCAGTACTCATCCTACCGGACCCAGACAAGGACTACGTAGTTGAAGCAGTCGCTAGTGACCAGGCAGTCGAAGCAGTACTGATGCAGGACCACGGACACGGTTTACAACCTATCGCCTACCTCAGTAAGAAGTTACACGGAGCAGAACTGAACTACCCCATTCACGACAAGGAAGCCTTGGCCATAGTCGTAGCCTTCAAGGCATGGAGGTGTTACCTAGAGGGAGCCAAGACCACAGTATATACTGACCACTGCAGTCTCAAATACCTGAAGTCGCAGCCGACGCTCTCACGACGACAGGTGCGGTGGGTGGATTTCTTGGAGACCCACTTCCACTACGACATCGTCTACAAACCCGGGCTACACAACAAAGCTGACGCGTTGAGCCGCCCCGGTCATGTAGCAGGCATCCAACTCGACGGGATGAACCCTCTGCTCAAGGGTCTATTCCAACATGGGTACTCCGTGGACGCAGAGATCGCAACGGCAGAGAAACAGAAGCTGTTACAGTGGGAGAAAAACTTAGCAGTAAGGAAGGGTTCAGGAAAGATTTGGGTACCGAATTATGCCCCGCTACGGCAGATCCTACTGGAGGAGTTTCACGACGTACCATACGCGGGACATTTCAGGAGCAACAAGACGTTAGCAGGGATAGCAAAGTATTACTACTGGCCCGGGATGGCAGAAGATGTGCAGCAGTTCGTCACCTCCTGCGACACATGCCAGCGGATGAAGAGTAGCAAGCAGAAGAAAGCAGGGTTACTTCAGCCTCTACCCGTACCGGAGCAGCCATGGCAGGTCTTTAGCCTCGACTTCATCACGGGACTTCCTTCGACCTCACGAGGGCATGATTCCATCCTCGTAGTGATCGATAAGTTCTCCAAAATGGGTCATTTCATCCCGACCAACGCCACCGCTACAGCTGAAGCAACTGCTCGCCTCTTCTTGGACCGCATCATCACCATCCACGGCATCCCCGCTACACTCATCTCAGACAGAGACCCCAAATTCACGAGTAAGTTCTGGAAGGAGCTCATGGGACTGTTGGGGACTAAGCTTGCAATGTCTTCAGCATACCATCCCCAGACTGACGGACAGACAGAGCGACTCAATCAGGTGGTTGAACAGTTACTACGCACAGCTTGCAAAGACGACATCAGCCACTGGGACACACAGTTACCGACCCTAGAGTTCGCTTACAACAACGCTTCGCATGCGGCCACAGGGAAAACTCCTTTCTTCCTATGTTACGGACGGGAACCACTCACACCACAGCAGCCAACCACACCGGCACATGTCCAAGCCACACACGACTTCGTCACCACCATGCATCAGCTATGGGAGAAGACTCAGCGACGTCTCACCACGATGCAGAACTCCCAGAAGCAGTATGCTGATCGCCAGCGACGAGATCACTCAGTAGCAGTCGGAGATCAAGGGCATGCTCCGAGCGTACCGGACGCATAACATCACCCCTGCAGTAATTCCAGCAGGTTGCATGAGCCAAAATTCAACCCCTAGACGTCCCCATAAACTGGTGCTTCAAGGCCGCGATGCGAGCACGCTATGACAGGTGGTTCATGCGTGAAGGGATTCACTTGAAGACGAATCAGGGTGAATAAACTAAAAAAAAAAAACTTCAGCCCTACTACCCCTTCATGTCTCTAACGTCATGCTGCCCCTGCCCCTATCCCACCCGCAAGGAACTTGAGGATGCCTCCGCACCCCGTGGTGCTGCAGTGGATTGCGGAGGCATGGGATCAAGTCCCCAAGCAGGTCATCATTGACGCGTTCCGCCACTGTGGGATTTCAAGCAAGCCGGACGGGACGGAGAATCACCTGGTGATGTCTCACCTGCGTGCGAGGGAGCACCAAAGATGTTTCCGAGGACTTGTGCCTCGGGGGGACCACGGACGACAACACGCGCCTGCTTGGGCAGGCTCCAGAGGAGGAGGAGGACGAGGAGGAGGAGGAGGAGGAGGAGGAGGAGGAGGAGGAGGAGGAGGAGGAGGAGGAGGAGGAGGAAGAGGAGGAGGAGATGCAGGCGGAGGGCGTCAGGGAGGTCGGCGTGGCAACCGGCTGGGAGGTGCTGTACCAGGAGAACCCCAACTGCCGCGGAGCGGTGGCCGAGGCTGACTGCATGATCGAGCCCAGGCAGACGGCGTGGCATGCCTGGCGAATGCCAGACCTGGGTGTTAGGGAGCATGCTGTTGATGCAGATGAGGAGGCCGTGACGGAGGGGGGCTAAGTAGAAGTAGAAATTTATAAATATATGCATGAACCCCTGCTATTGAACTGAGGATCGTTTAGAAGACACCCCCCTCTTTATAAGACATCCCCTAAACCCTTGTTTTGATTACAAGACACTGTCTTATCTCGCACACACATATAGGTGTCGTATAACGAGGAACACCCGTTTATAAGAGACACCCGTTTAATAGACACCCCCTTGTCTTCTATTCAACACTGTCTTATATCCGGGCGATGATGGTAGATTTGTTTTGGACCAGGCTGATCCATCAGCATTAGTACGGAAAGAAACGCGAACAATCAGCGTTACTTAGGAAAAACCCGCTCAAAATTCAGCGTTCTTACAAAAATATACCCTGATTGTGTATGTTTTGTTTTTAAGCATAATTACGGCTTATAGAAACAAAGTGTAGATTTTTATGGTTGGTTTGGGAGTGGCGAGGGAAGCAGGCGGGCTAGGGGGAGAGGCCAACAGTTTGGCTAAGGGAAGAACGTGAGCTGGAGAGTCGAGTGAAAATGGGCGGCTGGTGGGGAGGTTCGAGTGGAAGAAGTAAGCTGGGATGGGGGGAGATTCGAGTGGAAAAAGTTGGTTTGGGGGAGATTCGATTGGAAGAAGTGGGCTGTGGTGGGGAGAGAAACGAGTTGAAGAAGTGGGCTGAGGGGCGATGGGGGGAGTTTCGTGGAAGTAGCGGGCTGGGGGGAGTTTTGTGTGGAAGTAGCCGGCTGGGGGGAGTTTCGTGTGGAAGTAGAGGGCTCGGGGGATTTTCACGGCACCCCCTAATGCCGGTTTCAGTGTCCCCCCCCTATACAAGGCTGAGTGCACAGCCTACACTCCTACGAAAAGGCTGGAAAAACAGCGAAGGTAAAAAAAAACACAATGAAAAACCAGCCAAGGTACATAAAAAAAGGCCTAACCCTAAAAAAAAAGCCTGGTCTACCGCCGAATCAAGGTAAAAAGGCTGATATATAGGGAAATGGTCTGTCGCGTGCTCTATATGAGCTACAGTATTGCGGTACTGGTACAGTGGCGCTGCTTCGTTATGAAGTGGCACGCTAGGAAAGAACCTTCGGGAATGTTATAATAACCATTGGTTATTCCAACACTCCCTTTCATTCCTGAAGGTGAGTCACGTAGGATTTCTTCGAGATCTCGCAGAGGTCGGCGCAGTGGTGGAAACTCTAACGAGGCAGTTTCTTAGTCAGGAAATCAGTTGCCATGTCACCAGTTAAGCAGTGCGTGAGTTTGACCTTGCCCTTGTCGATCTCGTCCTTGACGAAGAAGTAACGGCGGTGTGCTTTGTGCAGTTCACGAATCCTGGTTTGTTTGCGATTTTGATCGCGCTCTGGATGTCGCAGAGTAACGTGAAGTGTCCGTTCATCTTCGCTTTCACTTCCTACAGGAGCTCCATTACGTACAACCCTTTGCGAACAGCTGCGCTGGCAGCGTTGAATTCGGCTTTGGCTGACAAAAGAGTGATGGGCTCCTGCTTTTGGGAGTTCCAAGAGATGAGTCCAGCAGGTTGGAGTTGAAAAATGATGCTTGTGCGGGAGCGTCTGTTGTCAACATCTTCCGCATGGTCCGCATCTACTTAGTCGTGAAGCTGCAGAGTAGTCGTTAAGTTGGCCGCGTAGGTGAGCCCGACGTCAGGGGTAGAGATGAAGTACTTGTTATAGACAAAGTAGGCTCAAATGTGCCTAAAACAAAAGATAGAGTGCAGAGTCGGATTTCTGCACAGCGGCTTTAAACGTTCATAGCGATCTGGTCACAGCTCCAAATGACCTGATTCAACTTGGATCTGGAGCGTCTTAACGCCCCCTACAAAAGCAATTTAGATCGCACGAAATCATTAATAATTGACGACACATCATTGGTTTGAACGAACGGCGCTATGGCAGCAACATAGTCTTGGAACACAAATTAGGAAGAGCTAGGAAGAGTTACGAGTTGGGAATGACTCCCAGCTCCTACAAACCCCAAGAGCCGAGGTACAGTGATGTGAAACAGTGCCACACTATCCCCAACCAAGAAGGGTCTCGAAAGTACCCTCCACAAGGGCCTACACTAAAGAGAATGTTACACTACACAAAGTAATGTAACTATCTTCAACATCTTGAAGTGTACCCTTTTGTCGAGCTTCGAAATCACTTGAAGCTTGAAACCAAGGCTCGGGTTCTTCATCACAAAATCATCCTTGAGTTCTTGATGGGTCTGATGCACACACCTGCGACACGCCAAATGTTCGACACAGGACAAAATAGAAACCGCGCGAGACACACAAACGACGAAATAGAAACCGCGCGGGACACACAAATGATCGCGTAACACGCGACTAGCGATAACTCGCTATTGACTCTGCGGAGAGTCACTACACAATGGGAGTGGACTACGGAGGAGGGCACGGGGTTGTACGAGTGATCGCAGCGCTCTAGTAGCGTTCTTACTTCTTGCTTGTGTTCACAGAGAAAATTGGCAAAAATTCCACTAAGGAAGTTGAAAGAACAACTTGCAATGAAAAGTTGATAGCAAAGATTAGAGTAAAATTGAGGCATGCAGAAGGATATGACTAGAATGGCATGCAACACATAGCAAGGGCGAAATCTGCCAGCGCAGCAGAAGAGCGGCTTGCCAACGCTGCAGCAGAGTAATCTGCTGGCGTTGCATTGCGCGCAGTCTGCCAGCACTGCAGTCGCAGGCGACTACCTGCAGTCGCAGGTTGTCTATCTGCGCAAATGTGTGCACCTACCAAGTAGGTGCAGGTTGGCGGTTTCACCGTCAGGCACATTGCGCAAGTGCCAGATAGAAAACGTGTCGTCAGTTTCGCCAGGTGCGCACCGTCGACCACGTGATGCCGTTCCGCGGGTAGAATTTTGCCAAAACCTCCCGGGCGAAAGTTCGCCTGCCTCCGCAGAGTTTCGCACAACTCTGCAACTTCGGTCGCAGAGTCCCTCGACCAGAACTCTTCGACCAGAGGTCTTCAACTAGTGCTCTTCGTCAGGAGATCGTCGCGCAGAGATCGTCGACCAGAGCTCGTCGCGCAGAGCTCGTCGACCAGATTCCGTCGAGCAGAGCCTACTCGACCGCAACTTCCGTCGAATTGCAGAAGCCCATTTCGTCTACCAATTCGTCGCGAACTTCTCGTCGACGACGAGATCGGCTGCGCCCAAGCGAGGGCGGGGCCTTTCTCTTCGACACTCCCCTGCCGCGCTCACACTTGGGCACCCCACACACTAGGTCTACCCAGAACCCAAGGGATAGGATACAAGGAGAAAATTCCGTCTGCGTGCACCCAACACATAGCACGCAGATCACTGCACCAGCCGTGCAGAAGGGCACGACACCTACTGCTGCACCTCGTCATCCCCGTCGCCCATGTCGGCCAGACGCACTTGACCGATTGCGACGGAGCACCGGTTGAAAGCCGGAAAATGCAGCGCCTTCGTCAGAAAATCCGCCGGCTGCTCGGAGGTCGGGATGTACTGCAGAGCAATCTTCCCGCGTTTGCAGCTAGGCGTAGCGTCGCTCCATGTGCTTGAGGTTGCCCTTGAGCCCCAAGCCCTCTGTGACTTTGATTGCCGACTGGTTGTCAACGTACAGAACAGTCAGCTTCCTTGGGTCGAGCAGTCGGAACTCTGCAAGGAGGAAGCGTAGACGGCGAGCCTCCTTGCCAGCTTCTGTCGCCTCGACGTACTCTGATTCGGTCGACGAGAGCGTCGCACACTTGATCCGCTGGCTCGACCAGGAAACTGCGACTCCTCCGAAGATGAAAACGTAGCCGCCCGTGCTCGTCCGATTCTGCTTGTCGCCAGCGTCGTCGGCATCTGCATAGCCGACCACACATAGCGACTCTGGACTGCCGCCGAACTCCAGAGCAGCGTCACGGGTTTCAGCGAGGTAGTGCAGGCAGCGATCGACCTCATGCCAATGGTTGTCGCTCCGCACGGTGAGGCCGGATCCGAGCTTGCTGCAAGCGAAGGCAATGTCGCGCCTCGTCGTGATGGCCGCGAACTGCAGCGAGCCGACCTTCTGCCGGTACTCTGCTTCCTCACGTGACTGGAACCCCTCGTCGTCAAAAGTCAGCTCTGCGTAGGCATCGACGGAGATCGGCGTCTTCGGCACTCGCCATTCTGCTCCTCGTCAATGAACCGCCGACGTAGCTTGTCGACGTAGACTTGCTGATGAAGCCACAACTTCCGCGCAAGACGGTCGCGCACGATTTCCAGTCCGAGATACTTCTCGACCGGGCTGATTTCGCGCAGCTCAAAGGCGGCCTCCAGCAGCTCCTTCAGCTCCTTCAGCATCGCAATGCTGCTGCTTGCGGCGAGCAGGTCGTCGACATAGACGAGCACCCAGCACGCCACTCCATCATCACCGACCTTGAAGTAGAGAGCCTCGTCGACCTGGCTCCTCTGCCAGCCGGCGCCGGTCAGCACCGCGTCGAGCGCCGAGTACCATAGAAGCGAACTCTGCTTCAGGCCGTACAAGCTCTTCAGCAGCTTGCAGACTTGGTGTGAGGATCTAGGATCGAGCTCAGAAAAGAGAATGTGAATTGAATGAATCACCTGGGTACAACACGAGGCTATATATAGGCTCGACACAAGGCCCAGTAACCAGGTGTTACGCGAAGGTTCCGAGGGTCGCGAAGCGTCCCGAACAGAGCCTTCCCGAATCCGGTAGAAAGCAATTCTGTGGCAACTGAATAGCTCAGAATTCGGTGTACGCAACCTAGCTCGGTGCTATAACTATAATAAAATATAGGAAAGCACCTAGCCTAGGAAATCAAGCAATTCATGTATGCATAAAATAAACCTAAGCTAGAAGTAGCATAATAAAGTAAAGGCAAGTAAGCATAGCTGGCATAAGCCGTCGTACTCTCACACGTCCCCCCCTCAAAGCTGGTTGGCGTGAGATACACCCTGCTTGACAAGATAGTCCTTGAGAGCACGGCGTGCGTTGCCCATATCAGCTTCTGCAACCCAACTATCCTCAGTGGGGTCGTA